AACACCGCGATCGATTCGAACCAGTTTCTCGTGAAAAAAAAATAGACCATCGAGCAGCTGGGAGAATATGTGTTCCCTCGTTCCCAATTTAAACCTCTGCATCGTCCAAAAGAAACTGTTTATTTGTTACTCCCTGCGGCGTAACGAACAACCAACAATTACATAAATATTTTCAACATATTCTGGATAACGTTTCCCCTTAATAAAAATACTTGCAACGAGTTTTGTTTAACGAAAGAGATTACTGTGAAATACTGAAAATATTTTATTACCTCACAGAGCACGTTTTATGGGAATCTTTATTTTTATATCGCTAGAGTCAAGATAGAAGAATTATAACTCTTCCAATACGCATCTTGAGGGGACATGAAAATAGACATAAATCGATTTCGTGGGAATGAAATTATTGAAAATATTGGAAAGAATAACGCGATAAAGTACATCCATTAATGTTTCTAGTTTGTCGAGCCTCGAGGATAAAATAATGAAACGTAACACTTGGTACGTTCGCTTTAAAAATTCGGGAATAAACGCGGGCAGACTGTTTGCGAATGGACGCATCGGGGAACAGTTGATTTCTCTTTGTGAACCTTGCCAATTTCGAACTTCCGAGGGTCCCTCGCTAAAAAGAAGTTTGGGAAATGCCGCTTTAAACTACGCGACGAGAGCAAAGAAGGCGCGTTTGCATCTCAAACGGGCCAGATTAAGAAGTTGAATCATTCCCATGATGCATTACACTACAGGAGCTTCTTAAAGTGTGGCCAAATGTTCCTTGCAAAGTGAGTTGCACGAAACTCGTATAGAATCTCGAAAAGAACTTTTCACACACTTCTGACAAATTCTAACAGTGTATTTCTATAAATTTATAAGAATATTAAAGAGTGAATATCGACTTTAATTAATTTTAATATAGATTTTGAATAAAATTATTAATTTTACCAAAACGAATCCTAGATGCAGCAATCTGTTTCACTTCACACAATCGATAGTATTTTTCACGAGCGTAGCACAACAGTGAAATCATGTTAACATTTTAATCACCTGTTGAGCCCTATTTCTAGCACCACCGCTCCGAATATGATAACAGTTTTATTAATGGAACGCGTGTTTCAGCAACTATTTCATGCTGAAAACTGCTGAAAGATCCAATCGTTCAATTTTTCCCTCCAATCGAACATTTTTGGATAGGACAATTATTTTAAAAAAAAGAATAAAACTGAACTAAATAAATCCAAAGGACAGTTACTTGTTTTTAAGAAAAAGGACTCTAAAATAAAGCACGAATGGTCATCGTAGATACAGGTGACTTGATGCAAGAATTGAATTACGTTTTAGAGTTGTCAGAGTTTATCGATAGTGATCAACGATCGTACGATACGAATAATATTCCGCAAGAAGACTCGCGCGACGTAGGAGCCTCTCGATAGCTTCTTACGAAAACTTCACAATCAAGTTTCGCAACTGTGTCTTTACTTCGACTCCTCTAACTCGAAAGAGTCACTCGGCTATCAGACATCCACTCGAGAAGTAGAAACTAAAGTCACATGCTGCGATACGAACCCGTGCAGTCAATCCAGAAGTTCCATTGCAAGTGCCGCGATATTCCGATAAAACCGCAACGAGCACTTGCACCACCTGAACAGACACACAACGTTACTGAACATATTCACAAAGCCACGCCTACCGACGCTACTTCGAAACTTTTCTCGCGTTCGAATAATTTCGAAACGTAATTGCAAGCGTTCCCATCCACGTGGTTAAATTACGTGGACGATATATTCATATATGTACAAATGAAACTCGTTCGCGGACGACCAAGAAGCAAAACAGGCTCTAAATCTATTCTGAGCGAAGATACAAAACATTCTTAGACATTGAATTTTTTTGGATTAAACTATCGAAAATGTTGTACATTACGAGACGTTTCATATTTAATATTTGTATTGGATAGCTCGATGTTAAAGTGCTTCGTGTGGAAATTATGTTCCTTACGCTAGATCACGCAACACTGGTGAATGTGGTTACGGATATCAGGTTGGCAATGCGATTTAGAGACATATTTCACTCAGCTCGTGTTAGATTTGCATTACAGATTTTGCTTGTTCATTGTGTTGGATCGGATCAGTTTCAAACAAATTGTAACCGGTTCTGCTGACAATAAGAACTGATACGATGGAGTTATATTTTAATATAGAACGTAAAGTGTTTCGTAAAGTACAACGTTCTAAAATATTTCATATTGTTTTATCAATTTAAAAAGAAATTGTCATACATTCCTTGTTTTCGATTTATTGTAAAATATTGAGAACCTTACGTCGACTGAGGATATATTCCTCGAGTTCTAAGAAAAATTACGGTCGAATCGTTCTCGAACAGAGCTCCTGAGATTCGTATCGAAACACCAGAGGATCTTCGATGTTGGTTTCCGGTGTACGTCAACTCCGCGGTCTTTTCTTTTGTCTCGATCGACTTTTGCCGCAGTTGAATCGAAAGATCCAACCGTGCCAGTCTGGGCTTCGATAATCCTCGCGGGATAAGAGTCCCGGGGTTAAGAGTGGGCAGCAGAGGGTGAGTAACGCCTGATAAAAAGTCGCGACCCGTAAGGCCTCTAGGAGGGCTCGCCGTGGCGAGTTCACGGATTACGCTAATAGGAACCCCATGGAATTTATATCTGCGCCGGATTAAAAGTTCAATTTCTGTCCGTGGACCCGGCGAGACCCGGAAGGTCAATTCAATTACGATTAAAGGATTAACAAGATGCGTGAGGAGACGCGCTCCTTTTCTTTGTATATCCCTTTCCGGACCCCGACTACTCTTTTTCTTCCCTGAAAGTTAGAATATGTCTCGTCGAGGATCCTCCAGCACTGCCGAGTCGACTAGTTCAAGAGGGCATGATAATCCAACGAGGCTTTGACACTTGACTACCTTCAGGAACCTCTTGCGAACTTTTGCATGTTTCGTTGGAAATTTTCGTCGGGATTTCTTCTTAATGATCAAATTTCTTTTGTTTTATTATTTACCGCGGCGACCACACCGAGGGGTCTTCTTATTAGAACTTCCGTGGCCCCTCGTCGAACACCCAAACACCTCATTGTCCCAAATATGTGTGGAATAAATTAGTGTGTGGCAATTATTTTGTTCCATAGCTTGAAGATCGAGCCAAACAATTGCACGATCCATGGTGAACATCTTCTTCATTTTGTAAATATTCTACGTATATTCTACGTAAATATAATTAGCAACATCGAAATGAGAAAGAATATGTTCACCAACTAAAAATTTTCGTAATAACTGTTGCGTTACATTTGATTTCTTGAAACGATCAACGAAACGCGGGCTAAATTCTGAACCAGTATTAATTACTTCAATTTTAGAGTTTCAATTAATATCTCTAAACGAACACGCAGGGAAATTGGCAAATTCTTCGACCGACTTAACATAATTAATTTAATGAGCCCATGATTACAAGTTAAATATGCAAAATTTAATATTTTAATTCATCCAATAACGGATTAATTTATCTACATGAAATAAATCTACTTCCTGAACTGGTTACAGAATACAATCCTCCGCAAAGTACAGATTATTCAATTGGCACAACAGTAATATAAATTGAAAGAGAATTTGGAACGTACGCGTAATTGTATGTTTGAAATAAATTTATGAATATCCAGAAACGTTTTACAGTTCATTAGTTTTAAGCAAACCGACGCTTTCTGTTGCAGAGTTTCAGAAAGGACCGTCCCGACCAACTTCGAACTGCGAAACTTTGAAGCACGGCCTTTAACGAAGCAAACTAGAAACAACTTATCGAAGATGGGCAACTAATGTGTTCTCGAAGAATGAAAAATGCTCTTTGACCTTATCGCTCGAGGCAGTGTTTGAAAAATTACAACGTTCGCTACGTCGATGTTAACACGAATCCTCCAAACTTAATTTCGACACCGATATGTTCATTTCGGAGCCTTTAACGGATAATAGGAAAGCATTGTCAGCAGTTTTATCAACACACCGATAAATTACAGTTGCTAAGAATGTTCGCGCTACGAGAAGCTATTGAAAGGTAGTGACTTGCTTTATTCTCGAGCGATTCGTTTAAGAACCGCGGTCCCGATATCCTTCGGCAACCATACAGAAGCTGCTTAGTTCGAAAGCCTATCCTTTATCAGCAGCCGCGCTTATACCAATTCTCCGAGGCAAAAACGGATCAGGTTCTTGCGTATCTTCTCGAATAAAAGGAGTAAGAAAGAAGGGAAGAAGACGAAATTCCTCGTAGAATATCGCGGGAAGAGTTCGTTGGAAATAAGTTGCCGCCGTTACTTCCGTTGCATTATCGACGAAAAGCGTTAACGGGTGAATCTAGTTCCAACCGTTTTCCAATATCGACTTCGTTTCAAACTTTTATCCATAACTTTCGAAATAACGATATAAGAAGTAAACCTCGAAAGGAGGCAGAGAACAACAATTTGTCTTCCCGTCGTGGCCGGACGAACGGTTCCAATTTATTAATCCTTCGAGTCACGGTCGTTGATGGCGAATGCTCGAAACTTCGTCGTGAAATATTTCTGACTGAAAGGCGTTCCACGGTAGTTCGGCCAGCCGGCGTGGATATTATATGGGGCCCCGTTGTTGTTCGTTTCTAAAGCGTAGCGCTGTGATTTCAACATTCATATCCATTTAGCGATAACTTATTGGAACAGGGAATTATAATGCGCCATTGGTACCAAGTTCTACGCGACGCAGCGCGCTGGGGATACCCCAAGTAAGAGCACCAAGTTGTATAAACTGTTGCTGAAACGGTGGAATTATATTAATGGGGAACGAGAACGAGCGAAGCCGGATATAATAAAAGGCTCTGGAAATAAACGCGTCGTCGAACTTCGGTTTCCATCTTGTAAATAGTGACATCGGGGCAGCACGGTCGCTTCCAAGAATAGTCGGGACAGCACGATCGCCATAAAGGGAGAAGATAAACTTCTTACTATTGCTGGGATGCCCCCATGACAAGAGGGAGGCACGTGGTGATGTCTTGTTGTTGCTGGTGCTGCGACGGGCTTGGCGGTGCCAGTTCTTCAAGTGCTGGTACTGGAGGTGTTGTTACCGGTGCATCTGGAGGCAGTGTTGTTGTTGGCACCGACGCTAATAACGCGGGCGGCGGCGGTCTTGGTATCACTTCCGGTCTTTCTGCTATGCTATCGTTGGTGGTCGTTACCGTTGCCATCAGCACGGGGGAGTGGCTTCTCACGGAAGAGAAACTGCCGAAAACCTCTTCGAACACTTCCGTCGAACCTGACAGCAAAGTCACCTACAGTGGCCTCTGGAGAGTCTGCGTTGCCATAAGTAAGTAATTTCTCGATTTACTTGCATATTTTTCACTTGGATTTTATCCCTTTCGTTTTCGAGACCATCTTTTTTGTTTACTATTATCTGGTTATAGTTTGTAGTCTGCTTTTGTAGTTCACGTAGAGCATGCCCATGTATGAGGCTATCTAACTTATAGTTTGTTGGATGATCATTTTTTAGTAGCTCAAGATTCATAAAAATTGAAGAAATAATGGTTCTACGAGCATTTTATATTTGGTGGGTTCCATATTCCGGGATTTCGAACAATGAAGTTATAAAAATATCAATTTAACGTATTATCCAGGTAATGGGCCCGTCTGTTGTGTAAAATAATATCGAAATTAACAAAAATAAAGGGTGTACTTGTAAACTCGATAATATTGTAATCCTAGTAAAGCCGTTTATCGTTTCAACGTTTTCCATCGACTATTTGTTATTATTTTCGAAACGTTCATACAGGATTAATTTAATAGCAGAAAATACATACTTTGGATAATATTTCCAACGAGAATAAATAGTGATCTTTTTAAGCAACATCAGAAAATTGAAAAGTAGAAAAGAAATAAGATTTTACTGGGGAAAGAAACTTATAGAATTTTACTTAACTGTGAGATATCTAACGCGAAGAATATGTTTGAATTAACAGAATCTAGAATGCTTAGCAGATGAATCGTTTCACCCTGACGTCGTTGTTTCTTAAAACGGGGTACAATATTCCTGTTAATTGCGAAAATCAGCTTACAGCGTAAGCAGCTTACAAAGTTCAGAAAAAAAACAACAGTAATATAAGTTATAACGATTATCTTAAAGCGAAACTGCCGGAACTACTCTGCTCCTCGTTGTATCCGCGGGAAGATAAACGAAACAAATTATAGCGATTAAATTAAAACTATTTATAACGTCGTAAGATCCGCAATACGCGGTGAACACAAATTCTGATGGAACGAAACGAATTATAGACAAGCAGCTTTGTCGATTTCCCATCACGCAAGAAGATAACAAACATACTTCCTTTTTTCAATTGCACGATCTTCCTCTCAAACCCTTTTTAAGCCCACATGCTACGAAAGAGTATTATCAAGCACTCTCTCAGAGCTCGCGATCTTGTAACAATCTATCCGTTTATATATCGTCCATGTTCGAGATATCGGAGTAGACGCGATAACGGACACAATAAAGAAACTCGAAAAACTCTCGCTGAAAGGATGCGCCACGAACCGTTATGATTGTTTGGGATCTTCGAGGGAAGTGCATCTAAGCGCTCCCAGGAACGAAATCGTATCCAAGAAAATCTAATTCGACGTCGTTCGGGTCTTTTTATCGAGCCACGGACCGCGTCAAAGAGTAAAAGCCATGATCACACGCGTGTGCGTTGATGCTGATTGGCCAAAACGAACCGCCACTTTGAGAACCAGAGAGATCCGAGGGTTCCTACCCTTTTGGCTGAAATGCAATTCTAGAAAATTATACGGGACCTTCTATGACTCTTATAGCGACGTGTCTTCTCAAACCACGTTAATTTAAATTAATACAATCGAAACTGGATCTTTCTGTAAATTCATCCGATGTTAAAACGTATTATATTTTCTCTACGTCCCTAAGTTCGATATTTCTGCCTACATAAATATAATATATCCGTTCGTATTCTGAAAAGCTTTCAATGTCTTATGGATTTTGCTAAACTTTCAAAGCTGTGATCTCTATTCGTTGACTTCGGAATAATAAAATAATATTAACCCCTAGTATTTAACTATAAACGTTTACTAAAATATCGAGAAGTGTAGTATGACGTTATAAGGTTAAATTGAAGTTAAATCGAAATAAATTAGGAAGTTCATTGTTTCCAGGAGTGCTAAGCGACGCGAGTGAAAGATTAGATCATTGCGTTGGGTTTTATCTAAGGCGATCGAATGCCGTCTCGAAGGACCGAGTGTCTGGTCACCGAATGCATCGACAAGACATTTATCAGATCCGCAGACCCCAAATCGAATTGAGTTTCACTCGACATCACCTGACCCTCGAGTAACACGGTCAATTGGTTCCGTGTTATTCAAAACCGTTCTATCGGAGACTTGGGGAATTCGTACCAACCCGGAGATTGCATGTTTTATTAAAAACGGTGCAATAAGAAACTACAGATCTGTACAACAATGGACATTCCGTTCCAGAGGTTTCCTATAAATGGTGAAAATGATCGAATATGACTAAACTTCTAGTAAACGATATAATATACTTATAGTATAATTCAAACACAGTGTTGCATTGCATATTTTGTACTCGTAAGTTGAAAGAGACTATTGAAATCATAGAAAGATTTCGTAATCTTTAGCGATCATTGGCAAAAAACTATAAAAATTAGCTTGCTTCTTCGGAAGAAACAAGAACCAAAGGTCTGAAGAGTTTCCTGTAATACATACTTCTAAAGAACTTAAAACTTCTTTGAAAGAACGCTTTATCCTCTGAGTGAAACCGTCAAAGAGGATATTAACTGTTCTAATTAACAGGTCATCCACAGTCAAATAGTGATTAACTTCCTCTAATGAATGGATACATTTCTTTCAATTAACAGGATAACAATACTATTATTAATTAATAATTTTAGAAATGGAGCTGGATTAAAATTTATTCAAAACCACGTACGCCTCTTATGTAATTGCTTCCTCTTATTCAGTTATTAATCTTCATACTTCCTTGGTCTCTCTTTAGTTAGTTTCGAGCGTCAAAGGTAACGTTCCATGATACTAAATGATTAATATTCCCAATAATTGAATAAACGTCATCCGTGTGGTCGTCAAACACATTCGGCCAGATTGAGAAATTCAAATCTGCATAGAGACAAACGTGTCCCGTCGATATCGACGACACTCGTCGTAGACAATATTATTTCCGGGATTCGCGATACGTTGGCAATGTCTGTAGCTCAACAAGAACCGACAAAACGAGTGTTTTTCGTTTATTTGCTCGTTGCATTGATCTCCGGATAAAGCTTCCCTTAAAACGTGAAATTGTAAAAGCACGATAAAAGGAATTTCATAATTCAGTGATGAACGTTACCGAACAAGACAGGATCTTGTGTTATCGAAGTCTATACTTTGTCGTTTTATAAAAATGATACACTGGAATCTTAATATAACCTTTATGTATCAAAAGAAATTCTTACTCAGGTGTTTAAAATTGGAATAAAATGTATTCGAACAGTAATATTTCATAATAGTCGTTGAAATAATATCGGCCCGTATCTGCTGTTGGACAATTATTCTTGTTTTATCAGAAATATCGAATTTATCGCGCCAATAAATTCCATTTTATATAACTCATTAAGGATACATTAAATTTGTATAACATTTTAGAACGAAATAGTATTACGATATAACTACCGTCCATTTATATAGATTTAAAACATTGAACAGACTATGCATTTAATTTTCAAATGTCCACGCTACCTCGTCGTGGGAATCAACTTCTGCTTTCTCTCTTGGGTAACACGTATTCCAAACTTTTCTACTTGTTCACAGACTGTCTCAATGTCCTGTGGACCATTCCAAACATTATTGCAATAGTATGAAATTTTAAGACCGAATGAATCGTTTATGACAAGGTCTATAGAGTCTTAAAATTTTTCCATAGAATATAATTTTCTCATTATCTTTCTTTGAAGACGAAAGAACGAAAACGTAATATTTGAAATGAATTCCAGAAATAATTTCGTCTCAATGTTAGTTTTTAATTTTCGAATTTTTAACCGAGAGCAATAGTTTCGAAATTAATCAATATTCTTAATAAGTAGATTTTTCATTTCGACAACTCCAGATATCGTCTTCCATTTCGCTGTTCCGACTACTTTGCATAGCAGTCAGTGAACTTTTCTCGAACTTAACCGACAGGACTTACGAGATCCCCGGAGTAACGTTATAGCTAGAGTTTAGTGCGTAGAATTCTTATGGGTGAACACGACCGTCTGTTTCTACTGGCATTTGCCTCCTCTGACCCTTTGAGTTTCATTGTAGTCGCGAAATTGCACCTTAAACTACTTATTTTGGCACATTTAAAAAATTTCCATTTCCTCGAAAGAATTGGACGAAGAGCCGGGAAACTTTTTACGTTTCGAACTCTTGTGATTAACTTGAATATTTCGTGGAATATTCTTTGCCCTGACTTCTTATCATATTTTTCGCACCGTGTTAACATTAATAATTTCAAAGTTCGCGTGAGCCATTTTCTACCTTGCTATTGCGAATCTAGGAATTTTAAATAAATTTTGCCACTCGCGGTCGTCAAAGGAAAATGCCCAAAAGATTAAAGTTGAAATAAAGAGGCATGAAAGAATATAACTGAAAAAAATTTCAGTAATGGAACGCCGCAAAGGAAACAAGAAACTGAGTAAACAACCATTAGGGACTAAACAAGAAATAGAGCGAAACAAAGAAATTGCTTTCCGTTGAATTTTAATGCATTTAAATTACATCGTTATTTTCTTCCTCGACGTGGTTTTAACGAACGATGATTTTATGCAACTACCGGAGAATATTGTTAACGAATGATCGATATAAACGCGTTCTATGAATCAATGCCTACAGTTTAATTAAACTATTTTATATATTTCGTTTGTGTATGTTTTTAAATGTTTTGTTAAATGTGTTAGCTTGGGAGAATGATTGCAAGGTCTTCCTATTTAGTGTCGCGGGGGATTTTCTTCCACGGAGAAAATAATTAAATGTTATTCAACTGATAATACTCGCTGATAGTTTTACCGTTCCATTTTTCAATGTAAAAAGAGACGAAATTACATATACAGGGTGTTCAGCCACCTCTGTGACAAATTTGAGTGGGAGATTCTAGAGGCCAAAATAAGACAAAAATCAAGAAATTTGTTGATTGAGGCTTCGTGAAAAAGTTATTAAAAAATTAAATTAAAAAATTTCAAATCGTTCTGGAAAAATTATTTTCAGTTGCGGGGGTCAATTACAATCATTTTTGGTCGATAGACATACCCCCGA